GTCCACTGAGCCGATGATGCTATCCAACCATCTCATCCTCTGTCATCCCCCACTCTTGCCCTCAGTCTTTCTCAGCATCAGGGTCTTTTCCAATGAGTCCCTCTTCCAATCAGGTGGTGAAAGTATTGGAGCTTCAGCTTCAGCGTCAGTGCTTCCAATGAATGCTCAGAGTTGATTTCCTTTAAGATAGACTGGTTTGATCTCCATGCAGTCCAAGGGACTCTCAAGAGTCTTCTCCAACACCACAGTTCAAAAGCATCAATTCTTTGGTGCTCAGCCTTCTTTATGGTCCAACTCTCACATCTGTACATGATTACTAGAAAGACCATAGCTTTGACTATATGGACCTTTGTCAGAAAGTGATGTCTCTGCTTTTTAATATGCTGTCTAGGTTTGTCACAGCTTTCCTTCCAAGGAGCAAGCATCTTTTAATTTCATGGCTGCATTCACTGTAGTGAGTTTGGAGCCCAAGAAGAGAAAATCTGTCACCACTTCCACTTTTCCCCCATCTATTTGCCATGAAGTGATGGGACTGGATGCCATGATCTTAGTTTTTTGAACATTGAGTTTTAAGCCAGCCTTTTCACTCTCTTCCTTCACCCTCATCAAGAGGCTCTTTAGTTCCTCTTCACTTTCTGGCATTAGAGTGGTATCATCTGCATATCTGAGGTTGTTGATATTTCTCCCAGAAATCTTGATTCCAGCTTGTGATTCATCCAGCCTGGCATTTCACATGGTATACTCTGCACAGAAGTTAAATAAGCAGGGTGACAATATATAGCCTTGACGTATTCCTTTCCCAATTTGGAACCAGTCCATTGTTCCATGTCTGGTTCTAACTGTTGCTTCTTGACCCGTGTACAGGCTTCTCAGGAGACAGGTAAGATGATCTGGTATTCTCATCTCTAAGAATTTTCCACAGTTTGCTGTGATCCACACAGTCAAAAGCTTTAGAGTAGTCAATGAAGCAGAAGTAGATGTTTTTCTGGTATTCCCTTTCTCTATGATCCAACGAAAGTTGGCAATTTGACCTCTGATTCCTCTGCCTTTTCTAAAGCCAGTTTGTACATCTGGAAGTTCTTGGCTCACATACTGTTGAAACCTAGCTTGAAGGATTTTGAGCATAACCTTACTAGTATGTGAAATGAATGCAATTGTATGGTAGTTTAAACATTCTTTGGCATTGCCCCTCTTTGGGATTGGAATGAAAACTGACCTTTTCCGGTCCTTTGGCCACCACTGAGTTTTCCAAGTTTGTTGACATATTGAATGCAACACTTTAGCACCATCATCTTTTAGGATTTTGAATAGCTCTACTGGAATTCTATCACCTCCACCAACTTTGTTTGCAGTAATGCTTTCTAAGGCTCACTTGACTTCACAGTCCAGGATGTCTGGCTCTAAGTGAGTGACCACACCATCATGGTTTTCTGGGTCATTAAGACCTTTTTTGTGTAGTTCTTCTGTGTATTCTTGTCGCCTCTTCTTAATCTCTTCTGCTTCTGTTAGGTCCTTACCATTTCTGTCCTTTATGGTGTCCATCCTTGCACAAAATATTCCCTTGCTATCTCCAATTTCCCCATTCTGTTGTTTTCCTCTATTTCTTCGCATTGTTCATTTAAGAAGGCCTTCTTTTCTCTCTTTGCTGTTCTCTGGAATTTCTCCCTTGCCTTTCACTTCTCTTCTTTCCTCAGCCAGCCTTCTTGCATTTCTTTTTCTTGGGTTTGGTTTTGGTCACTGCCTCCTGTACAATGTTATCTACTTCTGTCTATAGTTCTTCAGGCAATCTGTCTACTAGATCTAATCCCTTGAATTTATTCATTACCTCCACTGTATAAAGCATAAGGGATCTGATTTAGGTTATACCTGAATGGTCCAGTGGTTTTCCCTACTTTCTTCAATTTAAGCCTGAATTTTGCAATAAGGAGCTGATGGTCTGAGCCACAGTCAGCTCCAAGTCTTGCTTTTGCTGACTGTATAGAGCTTCTCTATCCTCGGCTGCAAAAAAATACAATCAATTTGATTTTGTTTCGGTATTGACTATTAGGTGATGTCCATGTGTAGAGTTGTCTCTTGTGTTGTTGGAAAGGGTGTTTGGTATGAGCAGTCCCTACAGTGGCACTTCTCAAACTTTAATGTGCACACAAATCACATGTAGATCTCATTAGAATGTAGATTCTGATTGAGCAATTCTGGGGATGGCCCTAAGTTTCTGCATTTCTAACAAGTTCCCAGGTGATGCTGATACTGCTGTTCCAGGGACCACATTTTTAAAGTCCAACCTCCTGGCTCTACAAACTTTCTACAAACTAATGGCTCCCAAATTTAGACTTCCAATCCAGACCTCTCTCCCGAACTGCCACTTCTAATTACAACTCTTAGTTGACACCTCTGTTTGGATATTCATAAGGCATCTCCTAAACTTCTCAAGGGCTTCCCTGGTGGCTCAGAATGGTAAAGAATCTGCCTGCCACTGCAGGAAACACGGGTTTGATCCCTGATCTGGGAAGATCTCCTGGAGAAGGAAATGGCAACCCACTCCAGTTTTCTTGCCTGCGGAATCCCATGGACAGAGGAGCCTGGCGGGACTATCCTTCGGGTCACAAGAGTCAGACGCGACATAGTGACTAAACAACAACAGGGTTCTCAAACCTACTCTTGCCCAATGTCTCCCTTAGGACTCAAGAACTCAAGTCAAAACCCTAAAAACTATCCATGAATATCCTTTTTCTCAGTCTCTACATCCAAACTGATAGCAAGTGCTGTCTACTTTACCTCCAAAGCTTATCTGGACCCCGTTTACTCCCTCTGCTCTCCACTCCCACCACCCTAGTCCAGGTGACCTCCTCACTTGTGTGAGCTACTACAGAAGCCACTGGTGACTTCGCTTCCTCCCTGCCCGCTCCCCTTTCTCCCCCTATCCGTTCTCTACACATTAGTTAGAGTGATTTTTCTAAAATATAAATCAAATCGCGTCACTTTCCTACTTCATGAAATTCCTTTAGGAGCTTGCATCTCATCTAGAATTGAATCCTAACTCCTTACCCTAGCCTATAAAACCCAGCATGTCTGGCCTCTGCCTTCCTTCCGAACCTCATCTCAGGCAAACCCCTGGCCCTGACACCAGTCTTGTTGGCTTCTCTCCAGTCCCTGAGCATGGCCTATTTCCTCCTTGGGCCTTTGTTCTGACTCTGCCCTCTGTCTCCTGGTCCTGGCTGAGCCCTTCTCATCATTCAGATCTCAGCTTCTCGGTCACCTCCCCTGAGAGGCCTTCCCTGATCACCTTATCTCTCACCCCAATTTCACTCCGCATGTTTCACCAGTAGCTGACCTTTGTTTGTCTGTTTCTCCACTAGGAAGTAAGTCCAGGAATACAATAACCTTGTTTTCTACTTGATTCACCGGAATCTGGAACAGGGCCAGAATAGGTACCCAGAGAAAATTTATCATGTGAAGAAATGTCAATTCCCTCCACCCCAAGCCTCAGTTTCCCCATCTATTAAACAGGGATAATAACATGATAGCATCTTCCTCACAGAGTTAAGATTAAATGAGAAGGACTTCCCTAGAGGTCCAGTGGTTAAGAATCCGCCTGCCAATGCAGGAGACACAGGTTCAATCCCTGGTCTGGGAAGATTTTACACACCTCAGAGCAACTAAGCCTGTGCCCTACAGCACTCAGCCTGTGCTCTGGAGGTCAAAGGTCACCAAACTGAGCCCACATACAACAATTACTGAAGCCTGCATGCCTAAAGCCCGTGCTCTGCAACAAGAGAAGCCCCTGCAATGAGAAGCTTGTGCACCGCAAATAGAGAGTAGCCCCCACCCCCTACTGCTGCAACTAGAGAAAGCCCAAGTGTAGCAGTGAAGACCCAGCACAACCAAAAATAAAATAAATTTTTAAAAAAGATCAAATGAGAAATACACATAAGGCTCAGGCACAGTGCCTGGCACTTGGTCACAAGTGGCTAATAATCCCATTACTATTATCAATACCATAACGGAATCCCTGGCAGAAATGGGGAGAGCCAATGGGACTCCCACTGCTCCCCAGCTGAGCTCCAAGCAGTGGGCTAACTTGCCTGGGCCCAGTACTGGTCATGACCAAAGTCCTCAACACCCAACAGCAGAGGGCGGGCAAATCCAGGGATGACAAGTGGAGGAGAGCGTGCTTCAATTCAACTGTAAGTTTATTAGAAAGGCCATGGACAGATGAACCCTGAGTTACCAGCTGAGGAAGAAATGAAAAAAGCTCCTGCCCCTCTCGGCCCGCCCCACAGGCCTCTCATGAACGCTGTCCTGTGGCGGACTCCAACAGAAGTCAGCCAGAAAGTGCTTTCTCGATGCTCCTTCAGGGACTGCTCGACCTGACTGCAGGGGGCCCAGGGGTGGATGCTGGTGCCTGGAGCTGGGAGCCACAGGGCCTTGGTCCTCTCCTCTAGCAGAAAGTGGTTCCAGACCTCCCTCCCGCAGCACAACAGAACAGAAAAGGAGCCAACCAGGGTAGAGCAAGTTCTGCTGAACAGCCAAAGGCTCTGGGAGGGGACGCTGGACTGCCTCGGAGGTGGGTGCAGATGGCTACAGACAGCCAATCGTGGGGGTCCCCCGGGGGAATCCTAAAGCTGCTCTAAGGGGACTCAGCCACAGAGCGCCCTTATGACTCAGCGCCCTCCTGGGGCTCCACTGGCTACTTCTGCTCCCAGAAAGGCAAATGGATCTTGTAGAAATCCATGGTGGTTGATGCCATTTTGTCCTTAAAAATAGATAAAGAGTTTGTACAGTGAATCGATTTCAACCAGCAGAGCCTGAGCCGAGAAGAATCTGTCCTGGGGAAGGAGAAGGCACTTCTCACACCCTCCCTGGGGTGATCCGGGCTGGCTGCTTCCTGGGCCCCGCGGGGCTCCGCTCCCTCTGGCCCTGGGATTCAGGCCTGCTTCCTCTGGGAAGCACGCTGCCTCCATCCAGCTAGCACCACCCTGCGGCCTGGATGCTTGGGCCCCTCACAGGGTGGTGGACGGCAGCTTCCTCACCCGCCGCTGGGCCAGGATAGACGACTCGATGGGCTTCAGCTGAGGGGTGGGCTTGGAGCTGTTGAGCGCTGAGTAGGTAGCTGCCATGGCTCCCTGGGAGACAAGGGGGACTCAGTTCATGACGGTGGGCAGTTCATGTGCTCCAGGGCTAAGCCAGCCCCTCCCAGGGTTCTGCAGCCCACCCGGGCCCCCGTTAATCCTGCCCTGGTGGTTCTTCACTGCCTCCTCCCTCAGATCGAAGGCTTCAGAGGGCAGGAGCTGTGCCCGCCCACAAAGGACTGGGGGCCATGAAGGCACTGTCGACACCCTGGCGTGTCAGACAGGGGCTCCTGGGGAGAGACGTGCATGGCATCTCCTGGCTCTGCCACCCCGAGTCCTTGCCCCTGGAACCCTGGCTTGGGTCCCTGCAGCCCGGCAGCCTGGGGCGGCGGTACCTTCACAAGCTGCAGGTCCTGGTGTGACAGCTGGCTCTGTGGAAGCTTGTCTTTCTGGGTGATCCACGGGTGCTGCAGGACCTGCTTGGCTGTGAGGCGCTGGTGGGGGTCCACATGCAGCATCTTGGACACCAGGTCCTGGGGAAGAGCAGGCAAGGGGGTTGGTGGGAGAGGCTAGCGGGGAGCAGAGTGCTAGGCCTGGCCAATGGGGACTGGCTAAGGCAGACGTTTCCTGCAATCTCCCGCCTGGACCCTTGCAGTAGCCCCTGCAATCCTTTCTCCACGCTGCTCCAGGGCCTCCTCGAGTGGCACATGCCCTTTTTGGGGGTTTCTTCCTGGAAGGCCCTTTCTCTTCTCTTTCACCATCTAGAAGCCATGCAGGAAGGTGGGAAGAACCGAAGGCTGGGGCTGGGAAGGATCAAAACCTGACTCTGCTGCTGATCGACTGCATATCCGGGGAAAGTTAATTTGACTCTCTGAGCCTCAGCTTCCCCTCCGAGAAACAGGATGACAAAAGTACCCGACTCATAAGGTCAGTGTGAGGGGGTACTGTTCACTAAGGACTCAGCCCAGCGTCTGGCGCAGAGGCGCCCACCACTGGGACCTGTTGCTTAGCACTGAAAGCGCAAACATTCCCTCCTCTGAGAAGGCCTGTCTGCCTGGTGGCCCGTAGCTCTGCCTGGGCCCCCGATGCCTACACCTCCGACCAGGAGGACCTGCCTCTGTCCCCCGGTATGCAAGCCTGTCTCTCCCCTCACACTAAGTCCCCACGAGGCAGGGGCCGTGACAGTGCAGCCCTCTGTCCCCCTTCAGGGCCCAGAACACAGGAAGGGCCAGTGAACGATCACCAAGTTGTCCAATAACACACAAGATAGAGTGCAGGGGAGGGGGCAGCAGTCTGCCTGGGAATCTTCCACTTGCAGAAATACAGCAACAGAGGTCTGTGGGATATTCCACTTGGAGAAATGAGGCTGCCGGTCACCTGTCCGTGGAATGCCGAGAAGCCCTGGGATGGGACCCGGCCTCCCCAGCCCTAAGTGAGCAGGGTCCAGGCCTTACAGACTCACCTTGGCTGTGTCTGAAACCGTGTTCCAGTTTCCCCCGCTGAGAGTGAACTTGCCACTGCCTATCCGGGTCAGGATTTCCTCTGGTGTGTCACTGGGTCCGTTGGCAAATGGAGTGTATCTGGAGGAAAGTCCACCCAGTGAGGGTATAGCCTCTGGCCTCCTGGCGGCGGGGGTGGCGATGGGGGACTGTGTCTCCCCCTTCAGAGTGGGTGCCCCCAAAGGTGGCACTTCCTCCCCAAGGTGGAGCTCCCAAAGGCAGCACCATGTTCCTGTCTCCAGCCCTTCCTGAAGCAGGGATGAGTCTCTCCCATTAGACAAGCACCACCCCAGCCTGTACACTAGGGCTGGAGGAAGGGGTGGGGGGCAGACGGGGTGCAGGCCAGAGGGGCACTCACCCCGCTAGCATGGTGTAGAGCAGAATGCCCAGGCTCCAAATGTCGCAGCCTTCATCATAGCCCTGGCGCTTCAGGACCTGGCAGGAAGGCAGGCAGGGAGGGGTGGTCGGGCTAAGGGGCATATGCCTGCCTGCTACTCCCCAAAATGCAGGACAAGGGTCCCAGGCATGGGCTGATCCTCCCTTGGTACCTGGACCGAGGCCACACAGACTGGAGTCCTGGACAGCGTGGGGCCTCTGGAAGGGACACAAGGCCCCCGTGCCAGGCCCCCCCCTCACTCTTGCAGCCGTTGAGGCCGGGCCACTCACCTCGGGTGCCACGAAGTTGGCGGTGTAGCAAGGTGTCATGAGGAGCCCGTTCTCAGCCCGCAGCTGCTTGGCAAAGCCAAAGTCACAGATGCGCAGGCACTCGGGGTTCCCAGACTCGTCCACATATAGGATGTTGCTGGGCTTGAGGTCCCTGTGCACGACCTGGGGGCAGAGGGTCTGGGTCAGTTCTCCATGTGGGCAGGCTGCTGGGGGCCCAGGTCCACTGCCAGGGATGGGAGAGTCAGAAGATGGGCCCAGAGAGGGGGCAGAAGGACCCAGAATCTGAAAGGGAGGGAAGGGGCTGCCAAGGGGCCTTGGTGCTGCTGGTGTTATCAACTTGAACCCTCTAGGTCAATGTCTCTGTGTGTGCACATGCTCAGTTGCGTCCAACTTTGCAATCCCATGGACCATAGCCCATCAGGTTCCTCTGTCCATGGAATTTTCCAGGCAAGAATACTGGCATGGGTTGCCATTTCTTACCCCAGGGGTAAACCCGAGTCTCTTGTGTCTCCTGCACTGGCAGGCGGGTTCTTTACCACTGAGCCACTTGGCAGCTCTAACTTCACTGTCCACAGTGAACACCTCAAATCTGCCTGCCACACGTGTGTGTACGTGCATGCATGCTAAGTCGCTTCAGTCGTGTCTGACTCTTTGAGAACCTATGGACTGTAGCCTGCCAGACTCCTCTGTCCACTGGACTTTCTAGGCATGAATACTGGAGTGGGTGCCATGATGTCCTCCAAGGGATCTTCCCAACTCAGGGATCAAACCCACGTCTCCTTATGTTTCCTGCATTGGCAGGTGGGTTCTCTACCATCATTGCCGCCTGGGAAGCGGGGACCACACATGTGACCTAATGGCAACTCCATCCTTCCCACTGCATGGGCCAAAGTCTTAAAGAGTCATTCTTAATTCCTCTTTTTTTCTCATATTCCTCGATCAATCCATCAGCAAACACTGCTGGCTCTACCATTAAAATATATCCAGGGACTTCCCTGGAGAGTGGTCCAGTGGTTAAGACTCTGTGCTCTCAATGCAGGCGGCCCAGGTTTGATCCCTGGTCAGGGAACAAGATCCCACACGCCATAGCTAAAGATCTGGAGTGCCGCAACTAAGACCTGGTACAGTCAAATAAATATTAAAAAAATATATATATATCCAGAGCCCAGGCACTTTTGAGCCCCTCTACTGGCAGCATGAGGATCCGAGCCGTTATCATCCCTCCCCTGGATTACGGCAACAACCTCCTAACTGGTCTCCCTGCTTCTGCTTCATCTCCTATGGCCTGTTCTAAACAGAGCAGCCAGAGTGATCCTGCTAAATGTAAGTCAGCTCATGTCACCTCCAAGGGGTCCCCTCTTAAGAAGGAAAGTCTTTACGGTGGCCTGGTGGCCTCAGCTCCTCTCTCCCCTACCCCTCCCCACATCGCTGGCACTCTCTGGTCCTCTGGCACTCCTTTCCTTGACCAGCTGGCTTTGGCCATGCCAGCCTCTTTGCTCTTCCTTCAACTTGCTAAGCACACTCCTGCCCCAGGGCCTCTGCACTCGCTGTTCCCTCTTGCTGGAATACTCTTCCCTTAGGCATCTGCCTGGCTCATTCTCTTATTTCTTTCGGGTTTCAGCTCAGATGTCACCTCACCAGTTAAGGCCTTCCCTGGACCATTCCATATAAAATAGCAACCACAGACCAGAACGCCTTCGTCTCCTCACTCTGCTTTATCTTTATCCACGGCATTTACCACTGTTGGATATTTACTTCATTGTCTTCTGAACCCACCCACTGGAATGTAAGCTCCAGGAGTGTTTTGCTCACTGCTGCCTCCCAGCATTAAGAACAGCTCCCAGCACATAGAAGTATTCAGTAAATACCTGCTGAAGAAATGGAGGCCTTAAGCACATGACTCTGCCCTGGTCCCACATGCTCATGTGTAACCTGAGGAGGCTGACCCATTCCACTTACTTTTCATCCACACCCTCTCCCTCTGCATGGTTCCATTCAGAGTCACTAACTCTCACCTAATTACTGACAACTCTCAGATCTCCGACACTAACCCGGAACTTTCCTGAGTCCAGGATCACACAGCTGCTTACCAGATGGCAACCACTGAATGTCCCCCTAGCCCCTCAAGCCCAACAATCCCAGACTAAACTCATTTTCACCTTCCTTCTCCCATGAGCTCATGGTACCTCCCTGAGAGCTGTGAAAAACCTTCATTGGCTCCCTACTACTTCAGGATAAACCCTGAAGTCCCCATCCTGGTGTGGAGAGCCTGGCTGTCTGCTCTAGCCTCATTGTCCACCACATCCCTCCAGTGCCTGGAGCTCAGGCCAGAGGGGGGTTCTTCAACCACGAACAGCCATATCTCTCTGTGGAATGCCTGCTCACCCCCAGGACGGAGCATAGGGACTCGCACACAGCAAGCGCTACGTGAACTCTGTGCCGTGAATGAATGAATCGCACCTCTGAAACACACAGACACTTTGCACATCAGATCGGCCGAATCTTGCCAGTTAGTTGGCTTTATAAGAGGATCCCTGCACAGTCCCTGTGGAGCCAGGCCAACAGGCTCCAGAGGCAGCTGCTGCTCACTCCAGCTGACAATCACTACGCAGCAACTCGGGCCCAGGTTTCAAAAGCAGCCAAATTATCAAACCAAGAAAACACCCGCGTTGCGCAGGCCAAACGCAGCCACTGAGTCACAGGCTGTGGCTCTAGTGAAGTTGTGATTTCAGTCAGGAGGCAGACGGGCTGTAGTGCGAATCCTGGCTCTGCCGGCAGCAGCTGTGTGATCATGATGTGTCACTCAACATCTCCAGCCTTTGGTTTTGTCACCTGTAAAACGGGGCTGATAAGAGTGCTTGGCCCCCAGCGTTACAGGAAGGCTCATATGAGTTATGTACCAGAAGTATGTAGCACAAGGCCTGGAAAACGACAGCTGCTGCCATAGTAACCCCAGCACTTCCTGGGGCTGAACCCCACCATCATGCTGGATATCAAGATACAGCGAGTGCTTGTTAGGAAGCTCTTAAAAATTAGAGGACAAGAAGGGCAGGAAAATGAGGGCACAGATGCTGTCCAAAGCAGCAGCCAATCACATGCAAGGAAGGAGCTCAGACTCTGAAGCCAGTTTAGCTATGAGACTTTTACTTAAGCTCCCAGAGCCTCAATTTCCTCACCTATAAAATGGGTGAACTAATACTCACACCTTCTTCATAGGTTTGTTAACTATTAAGTGAGTGGATGTGTAAAATACTTAGACTCGGTCTGGCCCGTGGAAAGTGCTCTGTCATCGCCAGCATCATCGGAGGATGCGCGTTAGGGCACCTGTGACCAGCCACACACACACACAGATAAAGGATGAAGCTCCTTGACGCAAGTCATCTGGTTAAACAGAGAAGTCAAAGTGCGAAGCACTACTGAGTTCTCAGACAGGCTGTCCTCGGCACCCTGGGGCCCTGACGGAAGCTAGAGACTTGAAAGGGCTCTACATCTTAAAGGAAGAAGTCCTGCAAAATAAAATGAAAAAAAGCAGACAACCCAGTTTCATTTAATGGACAAAAGACTTGAACCGACTTTCCATAAAAGAGGCTGTCCAAATGGCAATAAACCACCGAAGAGGTGCTCAACTTCATCAGTCATCCGGAAAACGTAAATTAAAACCATTATGGGATACCACTCCCCCTCTCTTAAGAGTGGCTATAATTAAAAAGATGGAAAATGCCAAGTGTTGGCAAGTAACAGAACTCTCACACACTTCTGGACAGTATAACTGTGTAAAACAACTTTAGAAAACTGGCAACATCTACTAAAGATGCACTATGACCCAGCAATTGCACTGTTATGTTTATACCCAGGTTATAGTGGACAAGTGTTCATGAGAGACAAGTGCAAGAATGTCATGGCAGTGTTACTTGTCATAGTCAAAAAACTGGTAACAGAGACTTCCCTGGTGATCCAGTGGCGAAGACTCCAAGCTCCCAACGCAGGGGGCTCTGAACACAGTTCAGTCTCTTGTCAGGGAACTAGATCACACAAACCAAAACTAAAAATCCCGCATCCTGCAACCAAGACCCAGAGCAGCCAAAAGAGAAGAAGAATCCTGAATATCATTAAAATCTTACTTTATCAGCTTTGTGAAGCAATATGCCGAAGGGACCATCACTATCAACTCCTTTGTTCTTGAATACCTTCTTTAAAAGAATAAATAACTAAACTAGTAACAACCCATGTCCACTAACGGTAGAAAGGATAATTAAACTGTGGTTTATTCACACAGTAGAAACCACAGAGCAATGAGACTGAGGAAACTGCATGCACACAACATCACAGGTGAATCTCAGAGAGAGTGGTCAGTGGCTGAAGTCAGATATGAAAGAGTACATTTATATCAAATTAGAAGTCAGCTTAGAATGGTTATCTTGGAGGAGGGAGAGTGGAAGGGGTTCGAGGGGCTTGGGGAACTAGAAATCCTTCGGTTCCCACTCTACAAAGCGCTTCCCTGAAGAGCTCCCTGGTGGTCCAGTGGTTAGGACTCCCAGCTTTCATTGCTGAGGGTGTGGGTTCAATTCCTGGTCGGGGAACTAAGCTGAGAGGCACAGCCCTGTCTGCTCCGGGTGCTAGTTGTGTGGGTGTGTTAACTTTTGAAGACTTACTGAATTGTACATGATGATCTGTTTATGTGATATTTCAACATGAAGATAACATGAAAACAAACAGGAGGGCCCAGAACTGGTCACCCTCTTCTCATTCCTCAGCTGTTACGAGATTCCTGGCTTCTGGACCACAGAGGCCAAAGTGGTAAATGGCTCGAGAATCTCCCTCCAAAAACCTCCATGAGAGCTTCCGATTTCCTCATCATCTTCCCCTAGTATTTGGAAAGGGCCAGAAACTTTAGAGGCAGCTGGTAAAGAACCTGCCTGCAATGCGGAAGACCTGGGTTCAATTCCTGGGTTGGGAAGAGCCCCTGGAAAAGAGAAAGGCTATCGACTCCAGTATTCTGGACTGGAGAAACTTTAGGGCCCATAGGTTCCAAAATCCCAAAGATGTCCTTTGGGCAAGAAATAATATTCTCCCATGACACCTCTACAGAGTCAATGTCTGTACTTGGAGCTCACCTACCCCTCACAGAGAGGCTCACTACTTTTAGAAGCAGCTCCCACTCTAGAAAAGCCCTTCCCTGGTTAATTTCCTGGTGGTCCAGTGGTTGGGACTCTGAGCTTTCACAGCTGAGGGTGCAGGTTCAATGCCTCATTGAGGGAACTAATATCCTATAAGCTCTGAGGTACAGCCATCCCTGCTCTGAGCTTTAGGTGGCCTGCTGGAAACTCACCACTTCAGCTCTATCTTCTAAACCTTCTTCGGGTAATGCTAGCTAATACTCACGTGAGAACAAAACAGGAAAAGGAAGCCCGTGTACTGTCTGACCTGACATATTTCCGTATCAGTCTGTTGGCACTGGTCATTTCAAAACACATAACCACTTCAAACACGACCATGCAGTAACCAAACTAGACCTCTGGTGATAAGGTAAAGTACTTTTTCACAAAAGAATCCCCCTAGTAAGTTAGACAGAATCACATTGTTATTTTTGCAAATTCTAATGAAATGATTCAGGGAAATGTCACGAAAGGCTGAAACCATTGCATGAAAGGTTGGTGAGGATCTCCATGATACACCTCACACCCACCTACTGCCTGACACCCGTTCACCCATCCCCAGACTGTGATGACTAACAGGGGCAATGAGACACTGGCTCCCAGACATGATGTTGTGCGAGGTTCACTGCACCTCCCATGGAGTGATTTTTGACTCCTTGCTCCCAAAAAGAAGTTGAAGCAAAATCTAATTAAGACTTTGGAGCACCGTGCAGTTTACAGGAAATATAAGCAATAGAGAAACAATTAAAATGATGCCACAAGAAGCAAACACATTCAAAATGCGGGACCAGGACTTCCTCGGTGGTCCAGTGGTAAGACTTTGTGCTGCCAATGCAAGGGTTATGGATTCAATCCCTGGTTGGGGAACTAAGATCCAATATGTTCTGCAGTGTGGCCAAATAAATAAGTAAATAATGTGGGACATTCCACAGAACTGCTCTCTTCAACAAGTCAGTGGCATCCGAAAGGGAGGTTTTACTATGGAGGTGACATGGATGTACACATTTAATGAAACTCATCAACTTGTACACTGAAGATCTTCTGTAGGCAAATTTTATCTCAGTTTTATAAGAGGCTTAAGGGGTATGATAAGTGAATGAAAGGTATGAACCTTGCAGAGATTGTGAATCCAATAAACCAATCTCAGAAAGACATTTTTAACATTTTAGTCAGTTCTAATGAGGTGGATGAACCTGGAGCCTATTATACAGAGTGAAGTAAGTCAGAAAGAGAAACACCAATATATTAACACCAGTATATTAATGCATACATATGGAATTTAGAAAGATGGTAACGACAATCCTATATGAAAGGCAGCGAAAGAGACACAGATGTAAAGAACAGACTTTTGGACTCTGGGAGAAGGCAAGGGTGGGATGATTTGAGAGAATAGCATTGAAATATGTATATTACCATATGTAAAATAGATGACCAGTGCAAGGTCAATGCATGAAGCGGAGCACTCAAAGCCAGTGCTCTGGGACAACCCAGAGGAATGGGGTGTGGAGGGAGGTGGGAGGGGGGGCTCAGGATGGGGGGGACACATGTGCACCTGTGGCTGATTCATGTCGATGTACAGCAAAAACCACAATATTGTAAAGAAATTAGCCTGTGTTTCCAGCAGCATTTCCTCCTACATCCACTTCCTCTTGTCCTGACAGCTGAACCCACAGCCAGATTCCTCCCTGAAGCCTTGAAGCTCCCACAGTGATCTCACTGCTTCGTAACTCAAAACCACTCTGCATCTGTAGCTCCCCACCCAAATTTCTCAAACACTCTGGCTCCCTTCTTTCCAGGCTGTGTGACCTCAGGCAATTGAGCTCACATCTCTGAGCCTTGGCTTCCATAACTATAAAGTGAGACCAAGAACAGCATCTACCCAATAGAGTTGTTGCAAAAATCAGTTGAGATAATGCAAGAAGGAACTCGGCATGATGCCTGCCTAGGTCCTGAATAAATGTTCCTTTTCACAATGTGGCCTCATCTGTCCCTCCTTTCCTTCCTTAAATCCATCCACTTGCCCACTCACCTGTCTCGAGTCTCCCCTCTGGCTGGTGGAAGATTGCCACTGTCTGGGCCAGTCATGGTCCATGCACTCTTTTGGTGGTAAGACCCCATGCTGCCCCCCCGCCCCAGGCCCACTCAGTACCCCCCTACTCAAGACTTACCCCCTGGGAGTGCAGATACTCCACGGTCTTGCTGATGGTGTGCAGGACGAAGCTGGCCTCACGTTCCGAGAAGAATTTCTGCCGCAGGATCTTATCCAGCAGCTCCCCTCCCCGCATCAGCTCTGTCACCAGGTACACGTGTTTGCCGTCATCGTACACCTGCCAGAGACCTCACCATCAGGCCCCTCCCCTCGATGCCAGGCCTGGGCTCCTTGGTCACCAGCTCACCGGGCCAGGGAGGAAAGACCTGAGCCTTGGGCTGTGTTCTGCTGTGTCTCATCACCCTGGCAGCGCTTTCACCTGGGCCCCTGGACAGGATGCTGGCTCTGTCCTGAGGGCAAGAACGCTCTCGGAGAATGCCAGCGTCACCCAGGGAGGGCACCTGCTGCAGCCAGACTAAAGGCACCTCAGTGGACCTCCCATCTGTGAGCAGAGGAGGACCAGAAGCCAAAGGAATGGCAACCCCGAGACCAGTCCGAGAGCCGAGGGCCCGTGTCCCCACCCCACACTCAGAACCCCCACTCACATCTTTCAGAGTGATGATGTTGGGATGCTGCCCGTACCGCAGAAGAATTTCAATCTCTTCCGAGGGGTCTCGCTTGCTCTTGTCGATGACCTGAGGAAAGGGGGTGCATGTGGCAGTGTTGGGGGATCAACTCCAGAGTCCCTCCCTGCCACAGAGCCCCATGTTGCAGGGCATGGAGTCTCAGCCGCACACCTTCCATCCATCCACAGAGTTTCTAGCACCACCCATCTCCGACCAGTGGGTCAGGGCTACATCACCCAGCACCTCCAACCCAGCCGAGCGGCCTTGGCCTGTACAAGGTCATGAGGCTCACCTTGACAGCATACTCCATGTTGGTGGCCTTGTGGACACAGCGCTTGCACTCAGAGTAGGAGCCCACGCCAATTGTCTCTTTTACCACATAGCCATCGCTAAAAACCAGGTTCTTCCCGTGTAGCTGCTGCAGGAGACCAAGAGGTGGGACTGATCATGTGCTCTAGAATGGAGAGTCATCTCCCAGAACTCCAGGGCTTGGGCACCTGGAGGTGGCAGTGGGCCCCTGGAGGTGGCAGTGGGCAAGAAGGAAGCCTGGCGCGCTGTAGTCCACGGGGTCATAAAGAGTCGGATACGACTCAGTGCCTGAACAACAGGAGGCAGGAGGCCTGGGGTAGAAGACCTCAGGCAAGAGTCTGCCCCTCTCTGGGCCTGTTTCCTACACTATGATGGGCACTTCCGACTCCTGGGTACCAGGCTGCAGTTTGTGGTCAGCGGGTGCTGGAGGGGGCAGGTAAGGAGCCAACATACACATGGAGCAGTTGGAGGCTCCAAGAACCCCTGCAGGCCTGAGGGGGCACGGGAGCCCTGAACCAGGTCCCAGCTCTACCACTTACCCGCCTTTGGCGGGTTGTTTCCCTTTGCTGGGTGACACAGCCCACCTTGTGGGATGTCTCAAGGCTGAGACATGAACTGTATCAAATGCTTCTGTGATGCTGAGTGTGTGGCAGGTACTATTCTGAGCCCTTCTCACCGGGTGACCACACAGCCCACACACGGCCCTGGTTCACGTCTGTTGCCCTCACATCCAGTCTGGTTTAACACTTGTCTGGGACCAAGATATCCCAGTTGGATAATAAATCACACAGTCACCCTAACTTTATACACAGTAACTCACATAATTCTTGAAACAACCCTTGGGGAAAGGTTCTATCATCACCCCCATTTACAGATGAGGAAACTGAGGCACCAGGATGTGTCCCCTCCACAATCCCTGACCTTGGAAGCTCTGACCCAGGCAGTGAGCTCCAAAGTCTCCATTCTTGCCTCTCAACTTTAAATTTCCCACAGAGTTGGGAGAGTAGGCAAGTGGGAGACAGTGGGAAGAGATCTGAGTGTCCCCCCCCATCCCTGTCAGGGCCAGCCACCGCCCAGCACCACCAACCTGGGTTTTCCCTGGCCATACAACATTCTGCCTCTGTGTCAAGAAACTCATAACCTGGAGGAGGGAATGGCTACCTACTGCAGTATTCTTGCCTGGAAAATTCTATGGACAAAGCAGCCTGGCAGGCTACAGTCCATGTCGTCTCAGAGAGTCAGACAGGACTAAGCAACTGAACACACACACACAGGACTTATAAGGACCAAACATATGTGAAAGGAAAGCAGATGGTGATTCTTGAAAAATTCAAATTTCAGAATATTTTAAAGTTTCAAATTATATATGTATATATGCATATATATGTGTGTCTGTGTGTGTGTGTATATATATATACACAAAGAAACTCATAACCACACTGCCTTCCCTGTTTTACAAATGGGGAAACTGAGGCTCAAGGAGGTTGAGGCGCAATGGGCTCCCTGGTGGCAGCAGGGTCTGAACCCAAGTCTGTCCAAGTTCAATGCCTGTGTTCTCAGCTGTTCAGCCTTGTGGTTTCCAAGAGGAAAAAGACACTCGAGAAGTTTCTCCCGCCCCTCACCTGTACCACCCCGTGCAGGGGCACCTGTGTGGCCCGAGGCTTGCCGTCGTCCTCCATTAGGCCGGTGGCCACGAAGCTGAAGCCGCGGAACAGCTGATGGGCACCGGCACTTGGGGGGATGCCTGGGGAGTCTGCAGAGGCAGGAGGGGGATGTGAACCAGAGGAGGTACCCTTGACCCAAGGGAGCCCAGAAAGCTGGCCGGGACGGGAGCCTGGGCAGGACCTCTCATCTCCGGCTTTAGCCCATCTGCCCATGTGTGTTCAGACCAGCCCAGTGCTGTCATACAAGAAACAGCAAAAACCCTCACATCCACCACCCGCCCACTTTATCCCTTCCTGGAGGCCTCCTTGTGTCTGGTCTGCCCCTTCAGGTCCATCTTCTATGCAGCAGCCAGAGGGATGGTTCCAACCACAAGTTTGCCCCCTGTCTGTACCCTCCTCTGCCCTTGGGATAGCCCAGGCAATGAGGTGCTTGTGATCTTAGCCTCCTCTCGCCCCACTCTATAGCTCAGCCACACCCAGCTTCTCAGATCCTTAGAGGAGACTCTAAGCCATTGCATGTGCCGTTCCTGCTAACTAGACCATTCCTTGTCCATCCTTTGAGGCTCAGCTCACACACTGTCCTCTGAGAAACCTGGCTTCACGCTGCTCCTCCAGCCTGTTGCCCCCATTAAGCTGCACTTGCCGAGCTGCCCAGAGCTGACTTCGTGTCTCTCTCCCACTAGAGCCTGAGCCATATGAAGGCAGGGCCAGGGTCTGTCTTGTTCACCGTCAATCCCTGCATGGCTGGCACACTAATAGGGACCTGATACATACTTGTCAGATAAATAAAGATGTGACACGCTGCTCGGAGAAGTGACAAGTTCCCCGACATCAGAGACGTGCAAGCCACAGTGAGAAAGGCACTCCCTCTGCTAAAACCTGTCCCCCCAGGAGGACTTTCAGAACACTTCCCCCATATGTGGCCAAAACTTTAGGATTTACCAAGCCCCCTCCCAGAAGCCGCCTCCTTGGCTTCTAGCAGTAACCCCATGGACTGAGTGGGTCTACGGCTGAGCCCGTGTTCCAGATGCGTCACCGAAGCCCAGTTGTCAGAGCAGCCAAAGCCGATTCCCACACTTGCCCCTGACTTCTGGGCACTGTCACCCCTACTCTGCCAGACCGTCCCCACCTCGCGTGTTTGCCAGGTCAGATTCTTCACCCCTGACGTGAGTGGGAGCCTGATGTGTCTGGTCTTTCCAGTGGGCTGAAGGTGCCTGGGGCCAAGGGTCCTGACTTTTCTATTGTGGCCCACTCACCCACTCACTCCCACCCCCTTGCCCAGGCACAAAGAGGCCCATAGAGCCCCGGAGTGGGACAGCCAGGCTGAATGAGACTGGGACAAAGAGGCAGAGACTCCCCGCCTGTCTGCCCACACACCTGGGCCTGCCTCAGCCCTCAGGGCCCCTGTGCCCCAAGAGGCCCCTAACTCCCTGCTTCCCTCCTGGGGAAAGGAAAGCCCAGGACAAAGTCAGATGAGGGACGCACCCTTGGGCGTGCGGGAGGTGAACTCAGTGTCAAAGTAGAAGGTGTCATCGGGTTGCGCCACGGCTGGCTTGAAGGGTGGCTTGATCTCACGCCGGTACAGCTTCTGCAAGGTGGGGTGGGCGCCCTGGTTACCTTGGCACCCCCACAGCCCACCGGAAGCCCCATGCAGGAGGAGTTAATGGCCTGGACGGATCACAGGCTACGCAGATGGGGCATAACTGCTCGCCCTGGGGAGGCCAGCCCGTGCCCCCAAGGCCACACCGTCACCTCTGCTTCACGCTGGAGGCTCGAGTCAGCAGAAGCCCCCTCCCGCCACAGCTGAAGGCCTGCCTGGGGCCCCAGGGTGGACAGGCTCACTCACATTCCAGTCAATGGTGGAGTAGAAGACATGCCGCTTGATTTCCTCTGCCCCGTCAGGGCCGGAGCCTGAAAGAGCCCAGATGAGGGGTCTGCTCCAGGACGTTCTGACCCCCCGACACCCGCCCTGTCCTCCGAGCGGCCACGCCTCACTAGGGTCTGGGACCAGAGGCTAGGCTCATGCCACCCCAAGTCCATCCAGCCATCACCCCGAGGCCTACAGACCACTCAGCATTTTCCACTTTCTGGAGCCTCTTGATGATCAGGCTCCCATGTACTGATGGGAGAAGGAGGGTCCAGAGAAGAGAGGCTAGACAACTTGTCCAAGGTCTAAGTCAGGACAGGCCAAACCTATCCTGAGATCTGCCAGAGGGTCCCCACCTCCCCCAACCCCGCACCAACTTAGGCCTCATCTCTGTTGCTCTTAGCCCATTGTCCTTATCAGCCACCAGACAGGCTCTCCCTCCATTCAAGCCCAGACACCTGGATGGGACCTTAGGAAGCTGGTCAAGGAACCCAGGAGCCACGGAGCCAACACATACTGAGCAGCTACTATAGGCACGTTCACGTGACTTCATTTAATCCACGAAGCTCAAGACCGTTGTCCCCAGTGGAGACAAGGACCTCGGGCTCCAGGGGGAGACGTCAACTGCCTTGGGTCACTCTGCTCACAAACAGTACTCATTCGACCACGGTATCTGTGGAGGGACCACCACGTGCCAGCAGTGGGGTCCTGAGCCCCTGGCGCCTGAACTTGTGCCCCTTCTCCTGAGCCAGCAGCCTTGGCGGAGGAGCCGTGCCGGCCTCTGTCTTCATCCCCAGGGGGAGTGGAGATGACTCAGTTCCTGCTTTTCCCCAGACACAGGTCACCACCCCCCGCCCCCCACACCACACATGGGGCCAGAAGGCAGGGTGGCCGCCGGCATTGTCTGCCCACACAAAGGACAACGGCCCCTTTCAGCCCCAGATGTGGCCCTGTGGCCTAGGCCGCAGCTGTACCCATTCCCCTCCCCTGAGCTGGGGCCACTTACCGAGCCGGTTGGCAGGATTCCGCTTGAACAGTGCCCGCAGGAGGCTCTGGGCTTCCGTGCTTAGAAACTGGGGCATGCCTAGCTTCGCCCTGCAATGGCCCCCGGGTCTCATCAGGGTTGAGCCCCGCCCCGGAGGCCCCGTCTCACCTCCCGCCTCTGTCCACGTCTCATTTCCAGCTCAGTCAGGCCAGACAAGCTGTCCACTAACTTCCCTCCCAGAGACTCAGGATTCCCCGCCCATAGGCCCCTGTGGGTGAAAAGGTAGCCCTAGCAAAAGCACAGCGCTTGAACCAGTGGAGTGTCTTGTTCTTGGAGAATCTGAGGGTAGGTGTGGGGTGTTACTCTGACCCCCAAATGAGGCCAAGAAGAGGAGACACCCGGTGGTGTCAGAGAGAGGCTGGAGCTTACTTCAGAATCAGTGTCATGGTCTCCTTCCGGTCCTTCCCCTGGAAGGGCAGGGAGCCCGTCAACATCTCAAACTGCAGGGAACAAGGGTCCGTTCAGGCTCTGGTCCTGCCCCCAAGACTCCCCCACCTCCTCCCACCCGGGCCAGCCACTCAGCCCCCCGCCCAGGAGGTCCACCTGGATCAAGAACTGTGTGTGTCCCTCCCCACTCCGTCAATCAGACCACCAGGAGCAGGACTAGGGGCCTGAGGTTGGGGAGAGGCCCAGTACCGGGCCGGGGGCACCCCAGGTGGGGCCAAGCCTGGAATCCTTCCAAGGAAGGAAACTGCAGCTCGGAGGAGTGTGAGGCCAGTTTAGCTATGAGAGGACAAGAGAAGAGCCTTAGAGACCAGCAACCACCCTCCTCCGCCCCCACGCCCCACAGATGGGGAAACTGAGGCCATCCCTGGGCTGGATGCTGGATGCTTTATCCCTGCGTGGGCACTCACCATCAGCACCCCATAGGACCACCAGTCTGCACTGTGGGTATGGCCCTGGCGGTTGACGACCTCGGGGGCCATGTATTCCACCGTCCCGCAGAAGGAATAGGCCTTCTTCTCATGGTCGATGGCCTCCTTGCTCAAGCCGAAGTCTGTGGCAAGGAGGGCAAGCGGACACACCTTCAGGACCCCCTGCCTGCCTCGCTGCCACCCCTGCACACCCATCCCCCCTGTCCAGAGGCCTGAGGGCATCACTGCCATGGTACTCAGGAGGAAACTGAGGCCCAGGGGGGTGAGATGGTCTGCTCAGCATTACACAGTGGGGACTTGGGATTCAAACCCAGGTCATGCCAGGCCTGGACTTTTGACCACTTCTAAGTGCCTGGCACAGCCTCTCACAAGAGGATACCCTAGTACTCAGCCCAGGTCCATCTAGAGCCCATCTTGCCCTCCCCTGAAACCGGAGGGGCAGGTTCCCTCCACTCACCAGTGAGTTTGATGTGGCCTTCCTCATCCAGAAGGATGCTGCAATGGAGAGAGGGGGTCAGGGCCCCTCAGCCGCGGGCCTTTGGTGGAGTCAGGTGACACCATGGGGCTGAAGAGGTTGGGCCCAGCCCGGAGAAGCTGACCCAGCCAGGTCCGGCTGATGAATGGGTGGGTGGAGCAGGTACTCATGGTGCCATACAGGTGTGTTGCCTACCTTTCCACTAATTCTCGAAACAACTGTGTGAGGCAGGTACTTTTATGGCCCCATTTTAATCATGGGGAAGTTAAGGACCAGGGAGGTTAAATAACTCCCCTGGTCAGAGAGTTAGGAGGTGGCAGAGATAAGATCTGAATTCGGCTCTGCCTGACTCTGGGCTTCCCTGGTGGCTCAGATGGTAAAGAATCTGCCTGCAATGCAGGAGACCCAGGTTCGATCCCTGGGTCAGGAATATCCCCTGGAAAAAGGAATGGCTACCCACTCCAGTGATTGCCTGGAGAATTCCACAGACAGAAGAATCTGGTGGGCTACAGTCCAAGTGGTTGCAAAGAGTTGGACATGACTGACTTAACACTTTTCACTTTCTGCCTGACTCTAAAGCCACATCTCACTTCACGTGAGCACCTGCCCCTGGCTCCCAAGTTACCACTTAAGGATATTTAGATGTTAAGGAAAAGTCAACAGAGGGTCATATCAAGGAAGGGCTTTTAATGGTGGCATCTCTGTGCTCGCTTCGGCAGCACATATACTAAAAAAATGGTGGCATCTCAGATGTCATGTTGGATCAGCTAAAAAAGTAGGCAACCCCCAGGCACAGAGGTACCTGGTGCTTGGTGATGGCAGCACTAGTGATGAGGCAGCCCCCCAGGTGAGTCCGGTGCTACCACCACACTGCTCCACCCACCCATTCTCGGGGCAACCCAAGAGAGGGGGACTTTCTCAGGGGAAGTCACGCCCACCCGCCTCAGACTGGCTCTGTTCTAGAAGAGGCCCCTGGGGCCTGCCTCTGCACCCCTCAGGAGCTGGGCAGAGCTGGGCCTTCACTCACTTCTCAGGCTTCAGGTCTCTGTAAATGATGCCTAGACTGTGCAGGTGGTCCAGGCCCAAAGCCAGCTCGGCCAGGTAAAACTTCACATCCTCTTCCGTGAACATAACCTGCAACAGGCGGGAGGGGGCTTCAGCCGGGATCGCCCCTTTCTCAGGAGCTGGGGCACTGGGCAGTCAGCAGCTTCCTCGTCCTCCTCAGAGATTCCATAACCCCTTCTCTTTATGACGGGGTTTGAAGAATGAAATGACTAATATCCAAGTCATTCATGGTAGCATTGAAAGGCAAGTAGGGAAAGACTGGAAACAGCCCAAGGGTCAAGCAGTAAACTAAACTGTCTACTTCCCACACAACAGAGTGCTATGCCAGCTATGAGGGGTTCCCAGGTGGTTCAGTGATGAAGAATCTGCCTGCCAAGCAGGAGACACGGGTTCAACATCTGGGTTGGGAAGATGCCCTGGAGGAGGACATGGCAACCCATTCCAGTATTCTTGTCTGGACAATCCCATGGACAGAGGAGCCTGGCAGGCTACAGTCCATGGGGTCGCAAAAGAGTCAGACATGACTGGCAACTAAACAACAACAATGCAGCCATAAACTAGAGCAAGGATTCCTCCATACAATGGATGGCTACAGATTCATCTTCAAGATGTAAGTGCTAAGTCACTCCAAAACACACTGTCATGAAAAAAGCAAAGTACAGTATATACAGAACAGTATTTTGTATGTAAGAAAGTAGGGGTCAGGATTCAGATCATACGTTGAATTGGTTTGTAATTTTTTCCCAAAGAAACATGGGAAATTTAGATAAGAAAAATGTTTACCTAGGGGGGAGTCGAGAGGGCTGGAGTGGGAGGAAGATTTCTCAATGGATATTTTTCTTCTCAGTCATGTATTATCTATTTGATCATTCAAACAGCATTTTAGACATTAAAAACTTTGGTTCTCTTCTAAAATTTAATTTGTATTAATGGTCCCATTTTTATATCTGGTTCACATTCTTTTATGTGAGTTCAAAAGCCTTTGGTTAACAGGACATAATCCTAAAGCATCCAGCTTTCCAGGTGGATGTGGGCTTCTCCAAATCCTCATAACCCTGCCTGGAGAAGCCCTGAAAAAAATGGAAGTGAAGGGGTTTCCCTGGTGGTCCAGTGGTTAAGAATCCATCTTGCAACGTAAGGGGCACTGATTCGATCCTGGTCTGGGAAGATCCCACATGCCTTGGAGCAACTAAATCTGTGCACCACAACTGCTAAGCCCGAGCTCTAGAGGCCACAAGCTACGACTACTAAAGCCCATTCACCCTAGAGCTCGTGCTCCATGAGAGAAGCTACCTCAATGAGGAACCCAAGCACTGCAATGAGGAATGGCCCCCACTCGCAGCAACTAGGGAAAGCCTGCATGCAGCAGTAAAGACCCACCACAGCCAAAAAATAAATAAAAACTGGTAAATAAATAAATCCTAAAAAAAAAAAAAAAAAAAAAAGAAGCATGGAGGTGAAGAGGTGAGAGCCACCCTTGGGTTCCTGGAATCAGGGCAGGATCACATCCTGGGCCTGATTCTCCTCACGCATCTCAGGGAACTCTCAGAAACTCTACCAGGGAATGGGCTCTGTCCCAGGGTGGGTCAGGGAATGCTGGGCAGGCCTGGGGAGTCCCAGGTGGAGGCCTCACTTTCACGCCAGCTCCATCTGCGGCCCTGGCAGTGGGTGTCCCGGGTGTCCGCTCACCTCTTTAGAGAGCCGGGTGAAGAGGTCCCCGCCGCGCAGGAAGTCCAGGATAAGGTAGAGCTTGCCCTCGGTCTGGAAGGCTGCGGAGACAGGAAAAGGCCATGGAGGAGCCAGCTGGGCCCTGGGCCTTGTCCCTCTGCCCCTCGGCTCCCTTGGTCTGCCAGGCGGCAGATGGGGCAGTATGCAGGGAAGGCAACAGGCCCCCAGCAAGGGCAAAGGCCGGCAGGCGGGGTGGGAGGTCAGGGAGGCTCTGCGGTCTTACCGTAGTGCAGCTTCACCACAAACGGGTGGTTTACATCAGCCAGGATGTCTCTCTCCATTTTGGTCCGAACGCGGTCACGCACTGGTCAAGGAAGAAAGGGTTTACCAAAGGTCTGGCTGCCCAGCACAGCACCCCTCCAGCTTTGGCTAAGAAGGACTCTCTTTTCTACTTGTTCCTCATGTCTCTCGGCAAGGCCCAAGACTGGCCCTTGGTGCCCTGCCCATCTCTCTAGCCCTGTCACTAGCTGTACCCCAAGGGGCCGTTCAATCCAGCCAGTCTAAGCAACCTGTTCCTTGCGTGCCCCCAGCCTCTGCCCCTGTGGCTCCCCGTTGGATGCCTTCATCAGCCCCCTCTCCGTCTGGCTTAAGAATCTCCAATTCCCAGACTTCCCTGGTGGTCCAGTGGTTAAGACTCTGCCCTTCCACTACAGTGGGTGTGGGTTCGATCCCTGGTTGGGGAAGTTCCATATGCCATGCGGTCTGGCCAAAAAAAGCAAGAAAAAAATCCCCAATTCTAGCAGGGGCAGAGTCCCTGGGCCTGAAATTCAGACTCATGGGCCTGAGAAGTCACCTCACCCTTTTTTTTTTTTTAAGAATAAAAGTCCCTAAGCCGTTCTGATCATCATCAGGTTCTCCTCTGACTCAGTTCAGACATTTTCTCCTCCAGGAAGCCTTCCTTAACTTGCCAAGCTGAGCTGGAACCCTCTGGACTCCTATAGTGCTCTATTTCCCCCTTCAGAGCACCTTCCACCCTCTTGTAATTTTCTTGCTTCCCTCACCAGACAAGACCGGGACCATGCCGGATTAACTACCCTCGTCACTGTTTCCAAAATACACCTAACATTTTCAAACTATTACTATCCCTCTACATTTCTGTTCAGGCATAGTTACTCCCTCCTGGGGTATCTTTCCTCTATGTTTTCAGTCTGGAGAGAAGGCCTAACTCGGCTCTCTAAAGGCACAGCTCACCTGGCTACTCCCATGGGAGCCCCTCCCCTGTGAGGCTGAAACCCAGATTCTCCTGGGTCCCAGCACCAACTGCACCACCCTGGGGGGTCCCGCACCTGCTCCCCTGTCCTAGCCCAGGAGCCCTTCACAGCATCTTTCTTCTCCCATCATCCTTCCTGGGCAAGGATTCCCATCCCTACCAGACTGGTCTTACAGCACCACAGCTAAGCCCACTGTGGCCACAGGAACCCAAGGCCAGTACCTCCTATTCTGCCCCCACCATCCTAGCTGGGGTCCGCTCCTCCTGGTCAGCGGGACCAGCCTACTCCAGTCCAAAGCCCACTCCCAACCACCCTCACACCCTCTGTAAGTCTGGGAATTCTAGACATGGGCTCAGCTCCCTCTGAACCTCTCCATCCATCTCTGGGGCCCTGCCTTGACTCATCCTTTCCAACCTACCCAACTGCCTCATTCCCTGGGCCCCCTCCTCTCCTCTCACGCACTCCTCCACTCTGAGAGGCCTCCCTCAGACTCATCAAGCATCATGAAGCAGTTCTGCTCACAGAATGCCTCTGCCCAACCAAGCTGATGCCTGGTATCTGAAGCCCTTGCCCACCCCCACCAACACACCGCACTCACCCCCTGCCTCCTGCCAGACGCCCTTCAGCTACAGACACTGGCATTTGGCTTAGGGGGGTGGGAAGGGGTTAATCCCCGGAAGTCTTTTCTTCTGCATGGATCCTGTCTTTGCCATCAGGGGAGGTGGGAGAGAAGGAGGGGCTGAAAATAGACCTGTTTCTGGATCTTCAGACCGGGTATTCCTGGTGAGAGAGCTATCTCTCCCATCAGACCCAAGGCCCCTAAACGCTGGGTGTCATCTGTCCTCTATCTCTGCCCAGCCTGAGGCTCTGCAGGGGAGGCACCCCCACTCACCTTTCAGTGTCGCCTTCTTTAGTACCTTCATGGCGTACAAGTGCCCACTGTCAGGTCGGGTGACCTTTCGTACCAGGAAGACCTGAGACGGCATTGGGGGGATCGGGAGGGGGGGTGGTGAGGGGGAAGCAGAAAAGAAGATGGGCAGGGGGCTGAACCTGCTAGCTCGCATGCCCCAGGTCCCAGGCTGACCTCCAGCTTCCCTGAGCACCACGTTGACCTGTGTCGCCCCTGGGTACCACAGTGACCTCTCTCCTCCTCCCCTCAGACCCGTCAACCCTTGCCCTCTGACCCTTTGAGCTCCAAGGTGGTCCACCCACCCCCACTGTGACATGACCAGTGCTGCCCTCCCAGCTGTGGGCTCAGGACTCACTTTGCCAAAGGATCCCTGGCCCAGGACCTTGAGGAGCTCAAAATGGGAAGGGTCGGCCTTCTCCGAGCCAGCCTTGACATGGTGCGTAATGGAGATCTCCTTGAGAACACCCTCATCCTGATGGAGGAACAGAGGTGGTGAGCATGGTGGGCCCCATCCAGGTCAGCACAGAGCGTGGCCCCTCACCCTGAGATCCAACTCCTGCCAGATCTCAGCAGACAGGGTCCTGCAGGCCCAACCAGCCAGCTACCCTGGAAGATGGGGCCTCCCCAGTTCATCAATATCAAAACCCAAGGAGGGTCAAACTACCAAGGTGCCAGGTCAGGTGAGCTCGTATCGCTCCTGCTGCTCCGGCCTGATCAAGCCCAGAGGGGTGCCCAGGCACGGCCAGGCGGAGCCAATGCCAGGCTTTGGTTGAGGCCTACAGGCCTGCCCCCGGTCCTCCCTGTGAGGCTCCCCTCCGCGGCTACAAAGGTTTTGGTTTTGACACAATAGGAAGCAGAGTTTGCTTGCGTCCTGGGAAGGCATAACTGGGCTTTTGTTTCTGGTCAAGATGGAAGATGGGCTCTCTCTGGTAGAAGGACAGGGCTAAGATACCCAAGAACACAGGGTTGTCACCTCAGACTCCCCCTACCAGCCCAGTAAGTGCCAGCCTGGGGTGGGTGCAAGCAAGACCGGAGACTCTATGCCCCACCGTCTGAAACCTCCTTTACACAAGTCTACCAGAAACCCCTGCCAGGTCCCAGATGTTCTAGAACCCCTCCTGCTCTCCCTCCAATCTGTCGATACCGCCCGGGAGCCCGGAAGTGCCTCCTCACTTTCCCAGGAAGCAAGGCTGGACAGAGTCTAGTCACCCAGGAGGGTCAGGCATGGGCAAGGAGAACCCAGAGCCAGCTGTTTCCAAACCGGTTACCGGGGCACCTATTCCAGGGGCCACTCTAGGCCAGGCCCAGATATCTGGGCACACTCACCGAGTCCTGCCTGGGGCCAGGGCCAGGGCCAGGGCCGGGGGCAGGCAGGGAGGTCTGGCTGATCCTGGGCCGCTGCTTCCTGGGCAGCCAGGGGAGCAGAGCCCAGAGCCGCAGACGGGGCAGCTTGGGATCCTGTTCCATGCGCCCGGCCGGGCCGAGGCACCATGGCAGGAGCAGGCAGCGTCCGGGGCTGCTGCGGAGGTGGCCAGGCCCAAGGCGGATGTGCAGGGTAAAGGCGGGGGCTGGGCCAGCCCAGGGCCGCCAATCACTCAGGGCCTGTGGTTTCCCAGCTCTCTTACCACGTTCCCTTCCTCTCTCTTCTCCCCCCTTCCCCATTGCCAGAGGGCTGCCCTCTGGCCCCCCCCCCCCATCCTCCCTGTGGGCCTGCAGAGGGAAAGCCCCATGCTGAGCCAGCTGCTGAGGAGGAGACAGGTGCCCAACAGGCAGACACAGGGACCTGACATGTTCAGGCAGATAAGGAGGGACACCCAACAGGCAGAGGCAGGCACCCTATAGGTGAAGACAGATGAAGGCGCACATCCAACAGATGGGTAGGAGAGTCCACGTGCCCAACAGGCCGGGATGCATGGGGCCATGCACCCAACAGGAAGGAGGTGGGAAGAATACACATCCAAAGGCAGAGACAGATGGGGACATGTACCCAACACACAGAGGAGGCAGGAAGGGACTCACACCCAACAGGCAGAAGTGGACAGAGACTCATATCTACCATGGAGAGGCAGATGGGGGGGGACACATTCCAACAGGCAAAGATAGATGGTGACATGTACCCAACAGGCAGAGACAGACGGAGATCCAACAGGCAGAGGCAGATGGGGGCTTGCATCCAACAGGTGGAGACAGATGGGGAATGTACTCAACAGGCAGAGACAGAAGGGACACAACCCAACAAGCATCCAGCTAATGTGACATGGACCCAACAGGTAAAGACAGGCACTCAAGGAGTGGAGACAGACAGGAGCCCAGCAACAGAAGCAGGTGGGCGGCAGTCAGAGGCAGCCAGCGTCAGTGAGGCCCGAGGAGGCTGACAGACACCCAGGGCAGACACACGGGCGCCCTGAGAGTCAGACCCTGGACGTAAGGGCAAGAGCTCTGGGTTCCTGCTGGTCCACCTGGGGAACATAACCTGCAAAGCCCCAGCACTTGAGAGAGAGCAGTCTGGTACTTGTGGCCGACTCATCTCTGAGGAATTCCATTTCTTTGGGCTTTCCTTCCCATGCCAGGGCCTGAGAGGCGCCCAGGATCAAGTCACCCGACAGAGACGGATGTCTGCTGAGTGAAATCTGATGACTCTGACCCTGACCCAGACAGATATCCCGAAGCTGTCATGCCCCAATTCAGGAACCAGAATCTGAGCTCCACCGGACAGAGACTCACCCAGGCTCAAATTGAACTGGTGGCAGAGCTGGCTCAAACCCAAGTCCTTTCCCTGGTCCCTGCCTGCCCGGGGGTCAGCAGGCCTCAGGGGCCAGGAAAGGGAGGGCGGGTAAGTCAGCCAGAGACACATCCTGCCGAGCCAAGCCCGCGCTCTCCCTTAGCACCAGGGACAGTCTGGGGACTTCCCACTCTAGATGTCGACCCTCAGAGATGCCTCCCTTGAGGGACCCCGAACAGCCACAGAAGCTGCAGTCATGAGAAACTCCAGGTCAATCAGGCCCCTGAGAGGAACCCACTAGGTGGGACAGGCAGAAAACGTGGCTCAGAGAGGGGCTGGGGAGGACCAAGACCACACAGCAACACCTACCCACCCCGTCCTGAGGTCTGAGTCTCCACCTCTCGGTCTGCCTCTGACTGAGAACCGTCCCTGGGGACAGAGGTAGTCACCCGGAAACCCCAGGGCACAGAGCCACCCCCAAACCCATTCCTGGCTCAGCGTCTTGGTGACAGACACTGCTGGAGGCTGGCCAAGCCTCTGCTCACCTTTCTGGGGCAGGGGCGTGAGTCTCTCTCAATTCTGGGGAAGTCTGCCGGGGTCTGCATGGTCCCACGCCTATGGCCAGAGAGCCTGGCTACTCCCCTCACTTCTGCTTTTTCAACTTTCCTGGCCCAGAAGGAAGGGTCCCTGACCCCCTCCTTCTCACTTCCCCCTCTGCCGGGAGGAGGGACAGAACGTGGGCAAGGCTCCCCTGCGGAGGAGGGGACACCATAGACCCCAAGCCCCCGACTCCAGGGTGGACCCAGAGAGACCCCTCTCCTCATCTCCTCTGATCCTGAGGAAGGGAGACCGGGACACAGACAGAAGTCACAGGGAGAGGCAGCAGCGACACAAGGGGCACCCTCTACCTGCAAACGTCCCCAGGAGAGAACGGGGCGGGGGGAGGGGGGCAAAAGCCACCAAGGCCACCATCTCTGACAGTCCGGCCCAGGGCACGGGCGTTCCCTCCCCTGTGGTGACCTCTCCGTGGCTGGGCCCACCCAACATGGCAGCCCACAGAGCAGGCACGACCACACTCAGCGCTGCCCTGAAGAAGCCTGTCAGCCCAGGGCCCTGGGGCGGGGTGGGGTGGGGTGGGCATGGGGCAGAAGGCATGGACCTCACAGGTAGCCGTGGGGCAGGGTGGGGACCAGGCCCGGCCCTTTGCCACATGGGCCTACCACATCACTCACCCAGGACCCGCACAGGAACTGACACACACACAAATGCACACAGTCCACTGATCGGAAACTATTTCCACAGACATCCCCTATGTGGAAACATGCCCCCACGTACACAGCACTTCCCCTTCCAGTCCCCACAGAGCCCCTGAGAGCAGTCTGAGGAGGGCCTGCTGGCTGTTGTGCAAGATGCTTCCTTAGACTGAGGCCTCTCGTTGTACCTCAGCGTCTTCTGGAGGCCTGGGGTTGCCCTGAGAGCCTCAAAGCTCTCTGGTCCAGTACCAGCTACGTGGCCCCCATCGACTCCCCACTACCCCCGTATCCTTCAGAAGCAAAGGAAGGCTCTCCATGTACCCATGGCGGGGTACAAGAAGGGGCAACAGGAAGGAAGCTGCCTCCAAACTGCCTTCACCGAAGGGGTACGTGCAGGGGCCTGGGAGCCTCCGGTGGCAGCAGCAGGGAGGACAGCACCAGACCCCACCCCCTGGTCGTGGCCCCACTCCCCCCATAGATACTTCCTCTTAGTTACTTCCTCCCACAAGGCAGCTGGAGAGAAGCCCAGAGCGACCCCCCCCACCCGCCTCCAACACACACCCTGCCTGATCCCTGGCCTGTAGGGTCCCCATCCCGGGCCTCCCTCCAGCAGCTGCAGCCCAAGCCCACCTGCTGATCTCTGGCCCTAACGGACACCAACAGCCCCTCCCCCAGCTGGCAGCATCTGCAGGGCCTCCCAGGGGTACCCCCTCTCATGGGGCAAACATCTCCAGACGCCTCTCCCGGCATGCCTCTGGGCAGTGGGGCCACAGTTCCCAGGCCTCCTTGAGAGGCGAGCTGGCCTTGGGTCCGAGGCCAGGACTGACATGCAGTGACAATGAGAATCGTCCCTCTTAACTGAGCATTTATTGCAGGAAGCCATTCTTTCCTCCAGCTTTTATTGGTGTGGATTCTGCCAGGCTCAGATGTCCTACTCCAAGGGAAGTGCTGTCATCCCATTCCAGAGAAGAGGAAACTACATTCAGATAGAAAGTGACTTGCCCAAGGCCACACGGCCAGAAAGGCGGAGAGCTTGGGGCAAAATCGAAGCCTACAGGCTGAAGCATTTCATCATCACTCTCCTTCCGAGGCCCGCCAGCCTGCCTCCCCTCTGGACATTACTCACAGCTATGGGCCCCCGGGTGTATCCCCAGGCCAGGAGCCAGACACTAGGAGGCGCACGTGTTAAGGAAGACTCCAGCCTTGTCCTCAGGCAGCTCCCCCAAATACACAACAAAAGGGAACTATGGTACACACAACAGCACAGGCAAGGTGCTGGAGGGGCCCACAGGTTCTGTCTGCCCGGGGTGAGATCCGGGAAGATGCGACAGCCTGGCTGGACCCTGAAGATGAACAGGAGCTGGTCAAGCAGAGAGGAGGAGAAAAGACACTCCACGTAGAGAGCATGGAAAAGAGGCCTGAGGCCAGGAAGGCCGGGTGGGAAGTTAAGAACAGTCTACTCATTTGTTCCCATGCAACCCTCTCTTCCTATCTGAGCCTCAGTTTCTTCTGTAAAATGTTCACACCCTCAGAAGGTTGTTTCGAGAAGCAAAATGGACCACAGAGATAAAGAGATGTGGTAAACAGAACGCCCTGAATGGCAAGGGCATTCTTACCGCTGCAGGGTCTCCTCTGGGCAGGCTGAAGGGACAGAGTCCACGGGCCTCAGGTGTTGAGATGGTGGAGGGTGGGGGAGCCTTCCCCGGCCAGTCCCAGGGAAATTCCCCTCCAACACCTGAGACTCCCAAGGCTCCCCGAAGTCCACAATCACATCCTGCCTGAGCTCCAGCCAGGGGAGCATGAGGGATCCGGGAGGGATCAGGGTTTCATAAACAGGAAGAGAGGAGGGGAGGAGGGGAGACGCGCAGCTCTCAAAATAGACCTGCAGGCGCTTCCAAGGGGTCCAGCTCCGGAGATAGCCAGGGAGGGGGCCTGGGGTGCCCAGTCCACCCCCAGGAAGGGAGGGAGGGTGAATGGAGCCCCAGCATGCCTGAAGGACCAGGTGCACATGGGGAGCTCTCATCCTAGACTGCAGTCCTCTCTACAGCTGCTAAAACCCCAATCCCTTCTTCTGCCTGAAACGGATCAAATAAACAAGCATTAAACACCAATATGATGTCTCAAACACTGCTGGATGCTCCAATTTATGCACATCACGTTACTTCCTTCTGGGTGGCCCTGATGGGTGGACTCTATTCTCCTTTTACAGAAGAGGCATCTGAGCCTCCGAGAGGTAAAACAACTCGCCCAAGGTCAGCCGGTAAATAAGAAAGAGGAGCAGGATTTTGAACTCAGACAGCCTGCCTCTCCTCCAAGTAAGGCCTCTCCCCCCCCCGGAAGGCCCATTTCTCTCTCCAGCTGCCCAAATCCCAGCTTTCGAGGCCCAGGCAAATGCCAGCTCTGCGGGGAAGGTGACCTGGTGCCCCACAGCCCACGGTTCCTCTTCTGCCACACACAGCAGTGCCCATCCACCTGGTCCACCCTCAACCTTGAGTGTGGATGCTACTAGGTTCCCTGGGACGTGCTCATCTCATCATGCCCCAGAGAGGCAGGTAGGAAGGTAGTATATTTCATTGCCCACTGTCAGGCCTGGCACTGAATGGAGGTTCTATGTGCCCACAGCCTGTTCTCCATCACTGCATCCACCACACAGCTTTCTTGTCACCACCCTTCCCCAACGCTGAGAACTCCCTGAGGGTGGGGTGTTGACTTAATTTTGGGGTTCCCAGTGCCATGAAAATGTGATGATGCAAAAGATATACCAGCTCCTTCCACTGCACAAAGCGATGAGGTTCTCACCACAGGCTGAGCGCCCCCTGGTGTGTTGAGCCCAAAAGTGGGCCCTAGGGATGCTACAAGATTCTGCAGCAACAGAGAAGGTGAATGAGCAGGTGCCGAGTAATGATGGAAACGGGTCACGGGGACAGAATGCTCCTCCTCTTCAATACTCAGTGTGTTTCCTGGGCTGGGAGGAATGTGGGTTCTGTGGTCAAGCAAGACCTGACTTCATTGCCCACTAGCGATATGACCTTGGGCCTCAACTTTCTCATCTGTACAATGGGGAGAGTAACAGTTTCTACCTCTGGGGGTGTTATGAGAACCAAATGCAAAGCTCTTGGTATGGCACTTTCTCTCCCTTAACGTGGCATTCAAGGCTCTCCTGCCCCATCCATGTCCAGCCTCATCTCCCTTCCCACCCCAGGATCTGCTCGAGAAGCAGGAAGAAGTCACAGACTTGGGATCAAATGTCGGTTGTCCACCTGGGTAGGTGCTTGTCCTCTCTTAACCAGCCCCTCTAGCTCTGAGGTGAGAAGCTGCACTCACTACCAGTTCCCTCAAAGCTGCAGGCACCTCTGCAACCCTGAGAACTTACAGTCCCAAGATCTGAACATCTGGATCTTCACTGGAGACCTACAGTCCCTTCATTACTAGGCATCCAGGGGTAGCTATGTGGTGGGAAGAGATTCTCCCACATGAGGCTGAGACAAGTCAAGGGGCCCAGTCCACACGACTCGGCCTGGCCTTTGGTGACCCAAGGTTGCCATAGTAAAAAAGAGGAGGGGGTGGGAGCCTACTTCTGTTGGCCTGCCCTACCCCAGGAAACTCGGCTCCCTTATCTTAGGAGGCTGAGTCAAGACAAACATCAGGGCCAGCCCTCGGTCTATCTCAAAGGTCGGGCTTATGGTCTGGTACCTAGGCAGACCCAGGCCAGAAGGGCGCGGCCACTAACAGGCAGTGGGGCTGAGCAACACGGCCAGGCACTCAGGCTGCCAGGGCGAAAGCTACTGTGTGCCAGGCAGCTGCTCTTCCATTTGTCCTTCATGTCACTCCTGAGAGGTAGGAGGCTGGTACCATTATTCCCAATTTACTGCTGAGGAAACTAGACTCAGAAGGGAGAAGCTTCAGGTCAAATGGTGATGGTGGAGGCAGGACTAGAACTCAGGTCAGCTCTCCCGCCAGAACTCACGCCCTGTCCTGCCTGGCGGCTTCCACAGCTCCCTCCCAGCCAGCAGCTCTGCGACCTCACAGCACCTTGAGGATCGGGTGAGGTCATTCCCAACACTGCGATGAGAAAGCCCAGGCCAGATTGTCCCCCAGCCTCGGCAGTGCTGTCAACACACAAAACCAGGAACTGGACCTGGAGGGCTGAAGGGAGGCTCCCGAGAAAAGCAGAGAGCGGAGAGGTGAGGGAGGTGGCCTGGGGCTGGGAGCCCTGAGAAACGGGCTGTGTGCCACATGCCAGGCACCGGGTCCTGGTTTGACTGGACGCCACCAGGTTCCCTCCAGCGCCAGGTGCCCAGACCATTCCAGGCCCTTGTCAGGCCCAGTGGACTTGAGCCTCTCCCGTCACCCCTTCACCCTCTTAATACAGTCAGCCAAGCCACCACGGGTAAACAAACAGAGGAAGCATCCTGGTCTGGGTGACGGGTAAACCTGAGTTCTAGCCTGGCTTCTGACCCTAACTGGGCCATAGTCCACTCACCTGAGAAACCAGAAGGTTGAAGGGAGTAATCTTGACATATGGGGTTGCCTCCAGTATTAGGTGGGACCAGAGAAGGACTTGGGCTTCCCTGGTGCCTCAGTTGGTAAAGAATCCACCTTCAATGCGGGGTTTGATCCCTGGGTTGGGAAGATCCCTTGGAGAAGGGAACGGCTACCCACTCTAGTATTCTGGACTGGAGAATCCCATGGACTATATAGTCCATGGGTTGCAAAGAGTTGGATACGACTGAGTGACTTTCACTTTCAGAGAAGGAAGGCTGAGCTGGGCCAGGGGGCCTCACACCTGGGTGGGACAAGGTCAGTGTCGCCCTCCTCTCCTACTCCATGCAGTGACTCCGCCCCTGACGATCCTTACCTTGGATGGCTGAAGCCCAGCTTCTTCCCCTGAGGCTTGTCCATTCTGGAAAGGAGAAGAGAGAGTGGGAAACACCGTCAGAACTTACCAGAGTGGCACAAAGCAAAGACAGCCCCTACGGGGCACCCCGGCCCTTAGATGCTCCCAGTGGCTAGAAGGGCCCTGGAGGCAGGGGCAGGAGTTCTGGGAGGGCACAGGCCTCAAGCCTCCTGCAATCACCCCGACTCAGGCAGCCCATTTTGGGCACCCCTCTCCCCTGGTCTCTGCCTAGAAAACATCTCATCTTTGAAGGTCTGGCTCAAATGTCACCTCCTCCCAGTGAGAAGGACTGTGTGTGTGTGCCAACTAACCAACTCAAGAGACCTCAGTTTCCTGATCTGTAACATGGGTATTTACATCCACCTCCCAGAGTTGACGTAAGGGCTGAAGGAGACAAAGTCTGGGAGAGTGTCCAGCCCAGAAATGCCCTGGCCCTGCCTTCTCTGGGACCCCTCTCCATCCTTGCAGAATCACTGCTACTCCCTGTGAGCCTTCATTTTACCACTTATCACAATGCAGGGACTACTGACTCACGGGCCGTGCGTGCTAAGTCACTTCAATTGTGTCTGACTCTTCGTGACCCCATGGACTGTAGCCTGCCAGGCTCCTCTGTCCATGGGATTCTCCAGACAAGAGTATTGGAGTGGGTTGCCATTCCCTTCTCTAGGGAATCTTCCCCACCCAGGGATCGAACCCACGTCTCTTAGGTCTCCTGCATTGGCAGGCAGGTTCTTTCCCACTAGTGCCACCTGGGAGCCCCTCCTAATAAATGGGGAGCCCTGGGAGGTAGAGATTAGGCTTTGGTGCTAACAGCTGCTCTCTTCCGAGCCCCTGCTGCACGCCCAGCACTGCGCTTGATGCCTCACACCTGTGGCACCATTAAACCCTCCTGACCTGGGCGGTAGGCCCGGGTCCCATTTGGCAGAGAAAGAAACTGACGCGCAGAGGGGCCTAGTGATGGCACCTAAGGTCACACCACTGCTAAGCGGGGATTAAAAATCTGGTCTCTGACACCAGGAGGTGCTCAAGAGGACTGAGGATGAGAAGCCCAGTACCCAGCCAGGGCAACAGAGAGGCAGGCACGGGAGCTCGCCCCTGGGCAGTCCTCCAGGCCCCAGATTTCGCCCTTTGCTGGGTACTGTCCACCCTGGGTATACCACCCCTTTCCTGTGTGATATGAGGTGAGTAACCTACCCCATCCGGGCCTTGGGAAGCTAAAAGAAGCTGTCCCCAGTCCTCCTGCGCAGCAAGAGTGTGGAGAAACCAGGGAGACCCAGGACTTTGGAGCCAGGGGCCAAGTCCACAGGGCAGCTGCAGTCTTGTTGGCAGCAGCGGGCACAGCTGTGCTCTCCCCGTTACATAAACTCCCCGCTCCTGGAGCAGCACTCCCTCCCCACCACTCCCTGGACATCCTGCCCCTTGAACCCCCTTAATGCCCCTAATCCTCCCCAGGGGCCAGTATTCCGAGGCCCCACCATATTTTTTTTCTTTCTCAGGAGCTTGGGGAGCAGGACCGGGTGGAACCAGGCCTGAGGGGAGGAGGAGGAGGTGTGATGCCTTTGTAGACAGAGTTCCACTTCACCCAGCACTGTAGACTCTTGACATAACCCCAGACGGTAACAAGGGCCTACACACCAGCCTCCCCCATTCTAAGTCCTCACCCTTCCTAAAACTCAACTGCAATCATTACACTTGAGTAAGACTCCCCTGGTCACTCACTCACTCACTCCTTACTGAGAACTTTCTAGGTGCCCAGCCTCAAACTCTTCCATGGCTTCCCACTGCCTGTGGGATAAAGTCCCAGCTCCTTGGTATGGCATTCAAAGCCATCACCTCCAGCTCCTACAGGTGATTAATGTGGGTTCTGGAATCTGACCTGTGGGTTCAAATTCTGGTTTCTATCACCTGCATAATAACCCTAAGGTTACTTCATTTCTCAAAGCTTCAGTTTCCTCATCTGTGAAATGGGGATAAAAGTAATGTACCCCACTGGGTGGCTTTAAGAAGCAAGCAAAATAATGTCTCTAAAATACATACATCCAGGGACTTCCCTGGTGGTTCAGTGGGCTAAGACTCTACACTCCCAATGCAGGGGGCCCAGGTTTGATCCCTGGTCAGATCCCACATGCCACAACTAAAGATCCCAAGTGCTACAACTAAGATCTGGCACAGCTAAATAAAGAAATATATATATTTTTAAAAAGTACACCTGGCATATAACTGGTCCACAAACAATCACCATTTATTACTATTCCTATTTTGGAGCTAAACTGAACAACCTGAGACCCCGAACAGACCAGCGTGTCCCCAAGCATTTGCACGGTGGCTCCTACCAAGAAAATCTTTCCTGCCCAGTCACTTCAGCACACTCCTGGTCTTTCAGGACTCAGTTAAATGTCTTCTCCTCTGTCCACACAGCCTCAAGTCCTTTCCTCCCTCCGCTGGGCCTCACAGCACCAAGCAAACCTCAGATTAACTCAGGGAGGAGCCACGGCTTGTCCAGTATTGTCTCCCTGGCACCCAGCTCAGGGTCTGGCACATAGCCTGTCAAATGAAACCTCAAACCAGCAAAGCGAGCAAGGAGGCCACAGTAGGTTGTTACTCCCATTTTTCAGATGAGGCTCAGAAGAGCTGAGTGACTTAACTGCAGCCCCTCCGTTAGAAGGTAACAGACATGGGGCTATGACCCGGAGTCACGTGCATCCCCAGTGGGAGAGAGCAGGAGGTGGTGGGTGAACCCAGAGGAGGGCACTTACAGAGAAGTATCTTGGAGGATTCAGGGAGCCTGTTTGGCCGCCTCCAGTCCCAGGGTCTGACTTGGGTACCAACCTGATGGAACCCCAGGCCTGTAAGAGCCGATGCACAAGGTCTCTAGTGGGGAATGGGTGGCCCTGGAGAAAGGACTAGGAGTGCAAAGAGGACCACAGGTGACCTTCCCCTTGAAAGCCAGAGTCCTGGGAAGACAGGGCGCATCTGCCCTTCTTGACTGACTATTGCACAGAGGGTGGAAAGAACACAGGTCTGCAGCCACAGAGTCCGTAATGCTAGCTCGGCTAGCCACTCATTCTGAATGTGTCCGTCACATTACTTCTCTGAGCCTTGGTTTCCTCACCTGTACTCGGAGGGCAGGTCTGCCGTGTTCATAGTGACATCCTGCTGGCTGGAGAAGTACCTGTCACGCTGTAAGTGCTCCATAAATGTTTGCTGAATGAATGGATGAGGACAACGGTATTGACCTTGCAGAATACTGAAGGAAAGACCTTGTCTACGAGTCTGGTACAGGAAAGGGCTTCTAGCCTCTTACGAGGATGGAGACTCACTCTTCTCCCACTTCCTCAGAGAGCAATACTCATGGGCATAGCAACTGAGGGACCCCAGGCCATTATCTTCCCTCCCCAGAGGTCAGAGATGGGTTCCAATAAGCATCCTTCCCTCCCACCCAAGCCACTCTGTCTTGGGAAGAGAAGCGTCCAGGGCAGTGTCTGGAGAAGCCAGGCAGCAGATGGACAAAGACAGCACGTGCCCCACAGGCAGGAAGCAGCCCCAGGAGTTGGGTTCAGAGCCCAGCACTGGCAACCCTGCCCGCTGCTGGAAGCTGGGGGCCAGGTGCCAGGGTTGGCTGGCACTACTAGCCCTCAGCCAAGGCTGGACAGGAGAGTCTGCCAACATCCGGAGCCTCTCCTGGAGTACCTTCCACCTGGCCAGCTTGATCCCAGCTCTTGCCTGTCCTTAAGACTCCCCCTACTGGGTAGAAGACAGTGAGAGATCTGGGTTCTAATTCTAACTCTGACATTAATTCACAGGCCAGTTCCCTCTGAGTTCACTTGTTCCATATGAAGACAGGGGTAATAATCCCTACCTTGAGAAACTGTTTGGAGAATTATTTGATTTTAATAGGGTCACAGTGCTGAAGTGGTGTGGATGGCAGAGTGAAGCTCTGCACCCAGTGAGGCTGGGCCTGGGGCCAAGGTTACTGCGCCCAGCAGGGCCAGGGGAAGGCCCCAGCAGAATCCTCACCCACACTTCCAGTGGGTTGACTCCACCTGGGCCACACCCCAGACAAGGCCCTGCCTCCGAGCAGCCCATTTTCAGCAGCGTCACAGGGAGGGCAGATCCCAGGCCTCTGCCAAATGCCCTGCCAGTTCCTCGGCCTGCCTCCCTCCCGGCCAGAAGCCTGTACCTGCAGGTCAGGGTGCTGTATCACTTACATGTCACCTGGGCTGAGAACAGCGAGGCCCTGTTCTCCAGTAAGAACCTGCACCCAACCCGCGCCCTGGCTGCCCCGTGTCTCCTGTTACCCAAACAATAACACCGAGTCGCCTGGCACCTCCATGGAGTGGGGAGGAGGAAAATAGGCAGTGCCCCTTAGGGTTCTGCACCCTCTCAGGCCCAGAAAGCAGAGGCCAGAACTCAGCTCTGGCCAGCGGAGAAACAGAGGTCCAGAGAGGCTACGGAATGACTGAGGGTCATACTGCGAATCCGAGGTGAAGCTCCTGGAGAAATCACAGCCCCCCTAATCCAAGGAAATAAGTCCACCTTTTTTTCCTCTCAAAGCTCAGGTGCAGTAGGACTAAAACTGAGTTGAGTTTCCTGTTTAAAGCTGGTCCCTGCCTCAGGATTTCCCAAAGAGAAGCAGGAAGCAGTGCCCTGGACTGGGAATCAAGGTTCTGGGTGTCTGCCTTCCCGACTAGTATAACCTATGGTAAGTCCCTCCCTGGCCTCTCCCAGTCCACCTTCCTCTAGAGAGGCCTAGGTCTCAAGGGTGTGCCAGGACAAAGGAGTTTACCAACCCCTGTGCCCCAGTCCTAGGGGGTGGGCAGCCCGTGGATAGGGGCTGAGGAGGGCCATGCTCCTCAGTTCGGAGGGTGAGTCAGCGGGAGAACTTCTGAGCTGTGCAGGGCCCGTAAAAACCCCATGGCAGGAATCCCAGAGCAATTTACTCCAAATTGCGCCTTCAGGTTGGTTACCTAATCTTGCCGCGCCCACCCTCCAATAGCCAGTGTCAGCCATGACCATCCCTTTAAAGGGGCAGCACACTCTGGGTGCTGGGGACCCAGGATCCTCACTCAGCTCTCAACCAGCGGCCCTGAGAGGCAGGGCACTTGGTGGTTGCCCCAGGTAAGAGAGGGCAGAGGAGGGAATCTAAGCGGGGAGGGGTCCGAGCCCCAGCCAGAAGAAAATCACTCTGGGTCTCAGGCTCTCTGAGGTTTCCATCGTCGCCCTCATATCCCCACATCCCTCTGGAAAGGCAGTATCACCTACTGTCCTTCCCATAATGAGGCTGAGGGGAAAGTTTTCTTCATCTGCTGGTTCAAGGGCTTGACCTTGACCCTGGAGGGTCAAAGGGCACAGGAAGAGCAGGCCTCTGCAAGGTTAGGGCCTAAACCACAGTATCCTCAGAAGGCAAGAGTTGCTTATGGAAGAGGCAAAGGCCAAATTCTCTGGAGGCCCAACCCTTTCTATGGGAGGAGGCAGGAACCAACGACCTCCTCATCTCCAGGAATAATTTTCTCAGGTCTAAGGGCTTTTCCCCATTCTCTTCTCCCCAGCCTGGGAGAGGTGACACAGGCGTCCTCTGACCCTACCCTGGGGCAAAGAAAACCAAGGGTTTCAGCCCCAGATGGGCAGTCACCCCAAATTCCACAACTGCGACAATCAAGAAGGAAAGCCTTCTAAGGTCAGCAGCGGAGACACTGGGAGCTCTTGGGGTAGGGCCGCTATGAGACATCAAGAAGTGGCGGGGGGGGGGTCCCATGACCCTTGTCTCTTGTAGAATCCAAGACATCTGGCATCCCAGCCCTGGGCCGTGTGCCCTAGTGAAGGAACCTCCTACAGCTCCGGGTACAGGTCCCAGGTACGTGTGGGGTGAGGCGGGGGTCAGATCTAAGCGCAGCACGGGATTCCCTCTCCGGGGTAAGGGGCTTCCTGGGGGCTTGGCAGAACGGTCCCTCGCGCACACACACCCGGGGCATTAGGGGGTGGAGCCGGAGACGAGGCTGGAGATCGGAGGGCACTCGCGTCCTCGCGGGCGCCCGCCAGGCTACAGCGGCGCCGCGGGCCGCCCCGCCCCTGTGGGGACTCGGGCTTGCCGGCCGCCGGCGCCCGTCCCCCGCCCAGCTCACTCACCTCCGGGTCCAGCGGCACCAGCTCCATGAGCGGCCAGGGCTCCTTGAGCTGGGCGAGCGGCATCGCGCCGCCGCCGGGCCGCCCGTGCTCCACCGGCGGCCCAAGCCGCGCCGCCTCCTGGGTCCTGAGGTCCCACGCTCAGAGCCCCCAGCGCCCCCTTTCTCCCCGCCGAGACCCTCTTGCTCTGGCTGGGCCGTCCGCCGCCGCCGCCGCCGCCGCGGCACTAGCACTTCGGCTCCCTCCGTCACCCGGCGCCGCCGCGCCCATTGGCTACCTGCGCGAGGGGGCGGGGTCAGCGAAGCCCCGCCCCGGCCCCCGCGGCGCGGCATTCCCAAGGAGGACCCCTGCCTCCGCCACGCGGGGAGTGAGGCCCCCGCCTCCACCGCGAGCCCCGGGCCCACGCTCCGCCCAGCCCAGGAGAGGCCCTCCTGGCTCCTCCCTCCCAAAGCCGGTCCCCGGGGCCCAGACCTCGTTAGGGCCACCGATCTCCCCACACTCAGCACATTTGGAATAGTTCCCCAAGTGCCCCCTCTCTCCCCAGCGGGCCTGTACCCCCTTATTCCCTTTACCTCCCCATCTCCCCTCAACCCCACACCCCACCCCCAGTTACACCGAATGTCCTAGGCCTGACCCAGGGAGAAGCTGGAAAGGAACTTGAGCCCTACTCCCCTCGTTGTGAGGCCCTAAGACACTCCCCGCATCCCACCCCCCCACCCCGCCCCCAAAGCGACACTGGGATCCCCTGTGCCCCAGCTCCGGGCAGGGTACGGATCTTCTTTCGCCACCATCAGGGCCCACAGTGCCTGCAGACTGATGTCTTAATAGGCACGCTTTGCTCTTTTAAGCCAAGTCTCTCCAGAATCTCTCCAGCTGCAGACCTGGCTCTGGGCTGATTTGGCTTTGCGCCCCCTCTGGGGAGGCCAGGGCCCAGGCTCCCAGGATCCACCGACGCTTGGGATGCACTTAGTAGTAAGAGACCAGGGAGAGGGATTCCCACTGGAGAGGCTCAGCCTCCATCTAAAGCAGTGTTAGGGGTCCAGGTGTGGTGAGATTCACACCTGGAAGAGTGGAGAGATGGGTTTTCGGGTTTCATGGAGGGGGAAGAATGGCCATTTGCAAAGCTGTTCTAAGGCAGGATTATCAGAAGCCTTCTTCTGATCAGGCTTCACCAACTTATGACCTCTGTGGATCCTCACCACCACCTGGTTTACACATCATAAAACAGCTTCAGAAAGATGGGGTGACTTACCTGAGGTTACACAGCAGGTCGGGAACAGATTATAGGACTTGATTAATCAAAGTCAATGAAGGTTTCTACTGAATCCACATGCTCCTGCTATTCCGTGATTTTCCAAGGGTAGCACCTCAACTGTTGAAGTGAATTGAGTTTTGAGTGGAAAGACTTTGGAACCTAACAAATCTGGATTGGAATCCCGTCCCTGCTACCTCCTTAACATTGGAAAACTCCTTTCATGTTCCTAAACCTGTTTCCTTATCTGTAAAAAGGGAATTATGATTCCAATCTTTCTGGTATATCCTGAGGCCTAAATTTAATTCAATAAACATTTATGGGTATATATTACTTGCCAGGCCCTCTTCTTGAGCATGTACTGTAAAACAGCCCCACTCCTAGCAATGAACAAAAGAAAATCCATGTTCTCATGGAGTTTACATTTGGTCTGGTGTGATTAGATAAATAATCACAGCTAACATTAGCATTTACTTTGGACCAGGTACTGTTCTAAACACTTCATCTGTAAATGCATTTAATCCTCACGACATCTTTATAACGTAGGTGCTGTTATTATCTGCAATATACAGATGAAGAAATTGAGGACAGAGAAGTTAAGCATTTCATTTGTTGGGTCCCTCCAAGGTTACACAGCTAGAAAATAGCAGAGCTGAAAGACAACCCTGGTAGTCTGGGCCCAGAGTCTTGTTCACTCACTTGGTTACCTCCCTGACGAGGGCCAAACCGGAGGTAACCTGGGCCAGTGTTGATACCTGTTATTATAATCAGCATTAGTTATCAGTTGACTGGAGCCAGTTTCTGACACCCCAGCCCCTGCTGCTCAGGGATAGCATTGTAATATTTGGACCTAGTTAGACTAAAAAATTGTTGTTTATCTGAATTTAACTGGGTATCCCATTGATTTGCTAAATCTAGTCATCTTACTCAGGGCTTAGAACAGATTGCACGCAGGTGCCAAATATCTGGCTGCAAGCTAGTTTAAATAGGTTAAACTTGGGAAGAGACATTGAGACCCAGAGAGAAAGGGCAAAGGACTGGGTGAGGAAAGTGAGGTAGCTGAGTGGGAGGGGTGTGGATGAGGGGACACTGGAATGATTTTGCCTTCAGTCTGCCCTCTTCCTGGAGCTGCTGGTCTCGTCCCTCCCCTTCTCCCACGAAAGCATCCCTGTCAAGTGCATCATCTCAGTTTAAGGATCCAGTAGTGATTGCGTTTTCCTACGAATATTTCATTTCCTGTGTCCTCTGAAAAGTACTGGGGAGGCAGCAGGTCATGATGGGAAAGGGAGCGGAGGGTGGGGGAGGAGACGGAGGGCTCCTGGGCCCTGCCTGGGAGCTTGGGCAGGTCAGCTCGCCATCATTGTAGTAGGGATGTTGCGGTCACTCAGCAGAGAGCTGTAGACACCAAGACACCGATCCATAGCCTGCAGTGTGCTGATCCCACTGCCACCTCAGTGCACCGTTTTCTCCGTTTCTCTCCAGGCTCCAGCCACACTGACTTTCCTGCAGTTCTCCTGCCCCAGCACCTTGTTCTTTGTTCTTAAAACTATCTTCCATATTCCTCAAGCCAGTTTATCTCCACAACCACTTCCTCCAGGACATCTTTCTTTACCTCCCTGTTATGGACAATGGTCACTGCTCCTGAGTGCGCCTCAAGGTATGAAAATGGAAGTGTTAGCTGCTCAGTCGCGTCCAACTCTCTGAGACCCCCTGAACTGTAGCCTACCAGGCTCCACTGTTCATGACATTCTCCAGGAAAGCATACTGGAGTGGTTTGCCATTTCCTTCTCCAGGGGATCGTCCCAGCCCAGGGATTGAACTCAGGTCTCCGGCAATGCAAGCAGACTCTCTAGTGTCTGAGCCGCCAGGGAAGTACACTTCAAGGTATACTTTTGCATCTGTTTTGTGATTACTTGATTAACATCTGGCTCTCCAGTTAGACAGTGAGCTGTGAGAGGGCGGCAGTCGGCTCTTCTTGGCTCTTTCCTGTTTTCCTGGCACCTGACACATTGCCTGGCACATAGGAGATGTTCAGCGAGGCTAAATGATATGTCCAACATCATCTGGTTACAACACAGCAAATCTGGGACTTGGAGCCTATTCTCAAGCTCTGAAATGCTACACTCTGAGGTGTGCATAAATGCTAGCTATGATTACTATTCATAATAGGATGAAAACAGGCTGTTCCGGGCAGTCACTTGAGGTGTTTGTTAAATGAATGACTCATAAGTGTGTGCTGGACACAGGTCTGTCCCCTGTGGAAGAGGTTATTCTGGCCTGGAGCAGGGGTCTGAACTGATAGGGGCTGAGCACTTGGTTTTAGGTCCTTCTCCTGCAGCCTGGCCATGAGCTTGCTATAATGTTCAAGAGTGCAGGTTCTGGATGCTCCCTGCCCCAGGAAGGGCATCTGTCATTATTTTTTTCTTGGCCTTTTAGTAGAGGAAGGTATTGGCACATGTGTCTCCTGGCAGCAGGTAGAACAGCATGTGGAGAACGATCATAATGGTAGTTACCTTTAACCAGAACTTGGCTCAGCATTTAAATAATCATCAGCAGCAGCTATGACAGCTTATTTTTTTAATCTGGATTAAAAAATATTTAAATATTAAAAAATATTTTTAAAAATATTTTATTTATTTATTTGGCTGCACCAGGTCTTAGTTGTGGCACACGGGGTTTTCAGTCTTCATTGTGGCATGTGGCATCCAGTTCCCTGACCAGGGATCGAACCCCTGTCCCCTGCATCAGCAGGTGGATTCTTAACCACTGGGCCACCAGGGAAGTCCCAATGGTATTTTCTCATCTTTCTTTCGTGGCATGCCTCTCTACCAGCAATCATATTGTATATTTACCGGTTTACTGTTTGTTTCTCCCACTAGAAAAAAGCTCCATGAGGTAGGACTTGTCTGTTGTGTTTACTGCTACTCGCTGGATATGGCAGACACGGCAAGCCCTCAAAATAGGCTTGTGAACAGAGCCACGCCAACCTGGACTCTAACCCCTGCTCGCTCGCTTCCTAGTTGCATGACTGAGAATTTTGGTTAACACCTCTGAGTTTGTTTCTACATCTGTAAAATAGGAGTGGTTATGAGTTATTATGTGAAGTCAGGGAACAAAATACCTGTGCAGTGTCTGGTAGATGATCATTGCTCACTGGAAAGGGTATGTAACAATCATAGACTCTCTCCCTTCTCTCCAAATTCTTGCCCCTGAAAAGTAGGAGGAGGGCAGTGGACTGGGGCTTAGGGGGCTCATTGGGCGAGTTCTCCATTGGTGCGAGATGAGGATGTAAGAAGAGGCTTCAGCTTGAAGGAATTCCCATGACTGTGATCAGTTCAGTTCAGTTCAGTCGCTCAGTCGTGTTTGACTCTTTGCAACCCCATGAACTGCAGCATGCCAGGCCTCCCTGTCCATCACCAACTCCTGGAGTCCACCCAAACTCATGTCCGTTGTATCGGTGATGCCATCCAACCATCTCATCCTCTGTCATCCCCTTCTCCTCCTGCCCCCAATCCCTCCCAGAACCAGGGTCTTTTCCAATGAATCAACTCTTCGCATGAGGTGGCCACAGTATTGGAGTTTCAGCTTCAGCATCAGTCCTTCCAATGAACACCCAGGACTGATCTCCTTTAGAATGGACTGGTTGGATCTCCTTGCAGGCCAAGGGATTCTCAAGAGTCTTCTCCAACACCAGAGTTCAAAAGCATCAATTCTTCTGGGCTCAGCTTTCTTTATAGTCCAACTCTCACATCCATATGTGACCACTGGAAAAACCATAGCCTTGACTAGACGGACCTTTGTTGACAAAGTAATG